TTCAGTATCGTAAGACTTGTAATTGCTATAGATAAAGTATAAGAACTCGATTATTCGGCACACCCAACTCTTGAATACTCTACACCACCACAAAATTAATAACGAAAAATACGTTTTCTGGTAGAAGACCCCCAATGCTGGCTGACGCGGTCCAAATTTAGCAAAGATCATTTCTAGTCAAAGAACTGATTATTATCTTTTTTGTCATTACGTATTAAAAATTAAACTTTTTTACCATAAAAAAAACATACTTTTCATTGGCATTTTGCTGCGAGCAGGATACAAGAAATAGACGTGATAGATGTACAAAATGAAAGTGAGCGTCCTTTGATGAATCTTAGCATTGTTAAAAGGATAGTTATCACCAAGGTTGATAATCAAAATATACGCCATTATTATATATGGTTCTTTGCCATTTATCGGGTATATGGTGAATGTCCTTACGATAGATAGATTTATTAGATTCAAGGCCAAATAATCGTAGACCCATTTTGATGCATATTCAACTTTACGGAACTAATAATCTGCTAAATATTGCAGAATCGATCTGAACCAGTGCTAATCAGAAGGAGACAGGCCTGAAGAATACAAGGCTAACGGCGGATGCACCCAGCCCAAGCAAAAGATTACTTTCTAAGCTGCTTCTGCTAGAGATGGACAAACCCACTGCTTCATAGTTCACTGCATTTCCAAGCCAAGACAACCTAATCATTTCCGTAGCTTCAGCAAACAAGCATCAATTTCAAGGTTGTCCTGCAATCAATTTGAATGTACAAATTTGGTACAATCGACTTTTATGTCAAATTGCTGTTAAGAATCATATCTCACTGCAAAACATTAACATATCCGGTCCATATGTTTCACGTTCATTTATTATTATAACTATTGTACTATTATTGCTCAGCCACTTTTGTCAAGAATATCAGAAATTTGCGAACATTTTCTATATAGCGGCCGTTTCAAAACGAGGCATTGTGCGGGGAGTGATCGTAAAAATGGCCGAATCCCTTCCATTTTCGATGCCCTTTGTCCCTGGATCTAAGCGTGTCGATGTGCCAAATCTCACTTAAAAATTGCTATCTGCAGGTTGAATAAAATTTACTTGGGCAGACATTAAACAGACAGATGGAGAGACATTCTTTAATAGATTCAGAAAATGATTTTCTACCGATAGATATAATAAAACTTAAGTTTATCTTACAGTGGTCTGGGTGTTATATACATCCGCACAAATTTAGTACATCTTGTGTCACAAACGCTGTGAGATGCAATAAAAAATAGTAGACAAGGTAGTATCTTGTTTCTCTTCATTGCAAAAGAAAAAACAGTTAAGAAAAATTCTTTCTTCCCTTTATGGTATTTCAATGGTGCAAACTTTATCTGGAAGACATGTTTTCGTGCAACTAATAACCGCTACCCTTTCGTTGCAATAAATCACTTTATTGCACTCCTTTTTATATACTTCACTGGGCTTCACTTATCTCGTTCTATTACGCTTACCTTTACGTTCTATTACGTTGACGTTTGGTGATTTGGAACTCTCTCGTTACCGTGGACATCATTTGTTTCGGCAGATTGTATTTTTGAACACCTTGAGTATATCACTTACGCGCCAACACTTTGGACCTATTTTTCAATGGTGTTTAATGTTAACCGGTGTCACTCTCCGCTAACGATCACGGTATTAAGACTCACTCAACTGTCGTCTCTAGCGAACGTCCTCTTAAGGCGATGGATATTGGAAAACGTATGTTTCTCAAACAAAAGGTCATGTCTGTCCTATCACTCAATACATAACTAAACTTATAGGCTACAAACTAAAAAAAATTAAAACAACTTGATTAAGTGTGCAATCAAAAATGGCATCAAGTCGTCAAGTGTACCTGCAGTTGCAACAAACAAAAATTAACAAAAATTTCCCGAAACTTCACGCGGGAAAAAGGGCTAACAAACATATTATAGACAGAATGAAAACTGGTAATGGTGACTTATTTTCGAAAGATTTATAAACGGAGGATTTGCTTAAGGCAAGGAAAGTCTAATCGTGACAATGGAAGAGCGGAACCATTCAAATATGTATGAGCTGAACGCAGGAAAGTGTTGTGCGGCTCTGCGTTCTGTATGTAAGCCCCTTTTCGATTTCGTAATAAATTCTCTGTAAATACTCTTCTAATTTTGTAAAATAAAGCGTACGCTAATCAAAGCACCTACACTACTACAAACCTAATATGAAACCTATTCGGAAAAGGCCGAAAATCGAAAAATGAATTGTGCGCAACAATTCGAATAATGATCGCAATTTACCAAAACATGCACGTAGTGGGTGTCAAAACACTCAGCTCAATCTTATAAATATTGTTTTTTTTTTTTTGTTTTCTATTACTTTTCATTACTAAAACATTTTTAGTGCTATTTATAATAGTTTGCAGCGCTTCTGCTCTTTTTTCGGTTTTTTTCTTTTCAAAATTGAATTTTGCTGCTCTTGGATTAACATTTTGCATAATATAAATATACAAAATTTTATAGGCTTATGGTTAAATTCATTTAAAAAATTTCTGGTTAAGAAAACATGATGTGTAACTTTGTCGAAGTTTAGGGATCACCTATTTTTCTACACATTTCATCAAATATAATAGTGGATTATATTCAACTTCTTATCTCGTATGGAAACAGACCTCCATCTATTGCTGATGAGCGTAAGAGCCGGAGTTAACTTGCCATTTCCATTTACACATGCCCCTCTTTGCTTCGATGTTTTCACCAAATTTCCAAAAATCGTAAATCATAAGATGAACCGATGAAACCTGAAACATTATAGCCTTGGTAGAAGGGGAAGCATTTGAAAGCGCTTTCCCTGATAACTTTTTGTTAATCCAATTGCTTCTAAGGTTGTTTGAAAAAAAAAATGCTACAGTATGTTATCGTATGCAGCCTATAGGTTATAGCGGAACAGAGTCAACAATGTTTTTCTATTTATCTATTTGCCTGTCCACCTGCTGAGACTTTATTGCAATTGTGTGTCGTCCAAAAGCTGTTTTCCTACTTCGTATAATTTGGTGTTGATTCGTATAGTTTTAATGCTCAAATGCTTAAAAATACGATTTGAAATATTTACGAGATGTAAGATACGTTATGTAATGTATACGAAAAATTCCTAACCTGTGCCACGTAATGATGCGATAAGTTTTTCTCAGTCGTAAGTGAAATCGTATACACAAAGATTGCCAATCGTGATACACTGTGATACACTAACACTATGACGTGGTATTGGAACAGTACACTGTTCAACCAAGCATCACAATAATTTATCAGATTCAGGGCGTTTCCTTCTGCAGTAGGCATTAGAAACGCAATGGTTACCTTATCAAGTGATACCAGTGACGTGTAACAGGCGACCAGATAGTAGCAAAAAAAAGCTGCTTCCTGAAAATGAGCCAAATATCGAGTGATCGAAAAATGGATCGATCCGAAATATTTTCAATAGCGTTCGTCTTTGGGTCAAAACACATCATTGTACCAAATATCAATAAAATATGAGCATAAACTTTCATGAGCAGGCATCAGACGGACAGACAGGCTTAGATCAATTCAGATTGCGATTCTGATTCGATTGGCATAATAAAAGGTGGGTCTATGTTAAGCCCCTCTGTGTGTGACATTCGTCCGCATTAACATAATACACGCTGTATCACAAGAGGTGTAGGGTACAATAAATATGTTGTTGGAATCAAGCGAACGCAGAAAATGTGATGAGCGACTTGGTTTTTCATAGTACGAGGCGGATGGCTTAAGCGATTATTGGATCGTCAAAGCTTTTGTCTCCTCAATATGCGAACAGGGTCTACGGTTGCAATCTAGGGTTTGAATAAAAGTTGTTTGCAGGAAATGCGCGACAAATAATCACTTTTAAGTGATTTTCCAGTAAAAGAAAAATGGATGAACTGTTGACCTGAAAAAACGCAAAATGATCGATTGTCCGTTTATTGTTTAAATTCTATATATATGTATATCCATGGTGTATTATTGCAATGATTGCTTCTATGCATTTCCATGATAGAAAGACAAACACAACAAATACAAATGTTGCTTCCACTCGCAACTGCGAAGCAAGTGGTGTTTTTCTTTAATCCCTCTGCCGGGTTATATGTGCTTCTGGTCCTTCTCTTTTGGTGATTATTTTTTTTCAATCGATGCCACTAATAGACTTCGACATAAGTTAACGAGCCCTTTACTGATCAACTTATACATTTTGCTTGAGTGAATAAAGCACTTTTGAGACAGTGTTTTGAAGTCAACAACGAAATGTGGACTAAAAAAAGCCAAGGGACAGTTCAAACTACGTCTTCAGAAGATCAATCGTAATAGACGCTTCACGATACATTCTGCTTAATAACACACTTGACGAAAGTGCTTCAACAAGAGCAAGGTCTACTTCTGCTTTCACAACTGAAGCCAGAGCTACCTTGCAAGCTATGAATCTTGCTTGTCACATTTCAAAGCTGTGCCGAATCTCTTAATTTTCATCTGGAGCACTATTGATAGATTGGCGAATGCCATCGCAACATGCAGTGGTAAGATTTAAACGCATTGGGTAGCTACTCATATCTCTTTTTTTGGAAAGCGAGCAAACTGATTGGGCGGGAAACTTGGATCTTCAAAAATACGTTGGAAGGAACTTCGCTTCTCGGAAACGCTTCTCTTAATAGAAGAACCGCATTCGGAACAATTAACAGTGAAATCCTGGAATCGCCAACAGAACGCAGTTTCGACCTAATAGGTTACTTTATTAAAGCTACTAAGCTTAATATGCAATTTTCTTTTCTAAAATAGAGCCGACAGTCTCTGTTGCTATTGCTCAAGGTTTTTCTTTTAATCTATGATTTTATTTCATCGCCGAAAAAAGTTATACTAATAACATGGATAGCGAATGTGTTATTGCAATTGTATATCTATATATATACCAAATTTAATAACTAATCTGTGACTTTCTCTTATTGCAGTTGTCAAAATGGAGCGATGTCAAAGCCACCGAAGAAGGCGGTAAGTTAACATGTGTCCACAAAAGAGGAGGGTAGCTATTACATACTAGTCTAGTGTAAAGGTTAATGCACGTTGGTCATTTTGGCAAATAGCGTTTTTCAATATGTGGGCGTGACAGCACCTCACTCGAAATTGAAATCTTCAAAATTTTTACACTTTACCCTTAAAGCAATTATTCATTCAATGTATACGAAAGCTTCGAATTGGTGTCTGCTGCAAATTTTTGAGGATAGTACTACTGAGCACTCCAGAAGGTAACGCAAAGCTTTCATCACGAATTCCTACAGACAAGTGCGCGATCAAGGATGTGTTTTAACAGTTGACTTTCCACACAGCTATTATGAAAAAAGTTCTATTATTATTGTAATTTTAGACTAGCGAAGTAAATTGTTAGACTAAAAGAAGAAGACATTGAGCACTAGCAATACATAGGCTATCGGCTCTAATTTATAAAAGCACATTAGATATTGAGCCTAATAGTTTTAATAAAGTAATATATTGTATTGATACTCTGTTCTGTAGCTGATTTTAGAATGTCCCTCGGATTGGTCGGTCCAAATGCAACGCTTCTAGCCAAGGAAAAGATAAGGCAGTCATAGAGAATGTGCTTTATAGTGAGAATTTGTCCACAATTGCAGATTGGGGAGGAACAATTCTTTAAAATGCATTGGTGAGCTGCAATTGTATGCCCAATGCGAATTCTCGAAAATGGAATTAATTGAGGATTAATACAAGAGTAGTGCTGGTGACGGCATTGTAGATTTCCTTTTATAATTTTCCCTTTAACTTGTCATCCAATGTATCTTTAAACATCCAGCTTTTCCACGACATCATCGATAAGTAGAGAAGCAGAAGCAGCATACTTCGCCGCTCGATCAGCTTGCTCATTTCCCAATAAACTGGTATGACTTGGTACCCGAAGCATTTTAATTTATTTGTTTTGACTTCAACAACGATATCACTTTTATTGAAAAACTTTTCGCAAAATTGTTCTGCATTTTGTAATTTCGTTGCGATAAAAATGAAAATATTACGCATACTTTTGAAAAAAACTATTTCTGTTTACAAGTAAGACTATTTGAAGTGAAAGCTAAACGGCTGTCCGTTTTACTCCATTCGTCTCAACAATAATCATTTAAAGGAAATGTTTATGGTATTCTCACAAGAGCTTAGGAAATACAGTACGATACGTTCTCTGATGCATAGTACGACGCATGCTGAGATTCAAGGTAGATAGAAATATCTACTCTTAGGATATCGTGAAACCGAAAAAAGACAAAGATACCCGAATCTATACGAACACTTTTCAGAGAAATCCTCGCCCATCATTAGGTTGCGGGCAAAGAGAAGTCTTTTTAATTGATTGGCTCATATTAAAAATTCTACGCGGTTTTTGCGCGCAGGACGGTGTATCGGGTGAAGTGTACGGTGCTGTGTGTGAATGAAGGCCCCGCGAAGACACGCAGGCTGTTAGGAAAAACTGAAGGTACTGAACTTCAAACACATGACAGCTTAGAATCATTTGAAAAGAGCAGGCTACGAAAAGAAGCTTGCGGCCGCGGAGACTTTTCTATGTGACCTAATATTTTTAATGGAGCAACAAAATAGTGAATGTTTTTTTTTTCTTGATGAGGAAGATATAAATAGCTTCTTCTTGTGCACTATTTTTTTTAGTAGCCGCAGTGAACGAATGCTTTGCTATGCTTAAAGTTGTTATGCTAAAGTAATTCTGACGCAGCCGATCATTTTGCTTTTTAGGATGTCATTGTTTTTATTTATAGTTTACAATCATCATTATTATTATTATAAATAAATAAAGATAAAGAAATCAATTGTCGAACTAAAGGTACAGTGAGAACAAGCAGCTAAAGACCTTCTTTTCTTAAAATGTAGACTGGATGGCTAATCTAGTCGTCTTATTAAGTTGAAATTTTATATATGTTAAGCTCTCTAGGTACTTTCAAGACGTTTATAGGGTTAGACCCTATAGGGTGGGTAACTTTTTCCATCAACGAGCAAAATTCTAATTTTCAAATCATGGCGGAGGCCAGCATTAGCAACATATTCCACAAACTGCATTGTGATGCTTACTGAGTGCTCTCCTTTAAAGCCCATAATTTATTTATCAATAATATTTGTATTTTTCGATAGTTTTACATACAACACAACCTGCGTTACGAGGGTATATTGAGTTTGTTCGCATTTATGGCGCACGCACAAGGATTTGAGACAGACATCCCTTTTACTATGCCGATAGATTGAGAATCAATTACTGAATCGTTTTAGGCTTGTCTGTTCGCCCGGCTGTCTTGTTTGCTTGCATTCAACCAACAGTCCGCAACTTATGAAATACTCTAAAGAAATGTAGTATATTGACGTATTTTGGGCACAAGAGCGAACGGTATCGAAAACGATTCGAATCGAATGATCTTTTCAAGTACTTCGCTTATAAAGCCTTATTTTGAGAACGCGGTATATGACTGACTGTAGGGTTATGTAGGGTGTTTAATGTTAGACCGTGGATCTCTATAGCGGTTTTACTTATTATACTTTTAAGCGTCATATATTCTTTTTTTTCAATTTTCTATAAAAGCACGAAAAGACAGACGAATAATGCTTACATGTTTTTGCATAAAAGTATGTATGTGTGCACTCATACGTATCGAAAAAAAATTTTTTATTTTTTTTTTCAGGTCAATCAATAAACATGAAAGACTGCGAATCGTGACTATTATTTCTTTTATTTCATTTCTTTTCATTTTTGATGTTTTATTGTAAAAAGATTTCTTTATTGAAATTAAACACCACGCAGACCGAAACGAACAATAACAAAAACTCCGATGAATATTTAATGTGTTGGGGGTTTGTGTCTACTTCTAGCAAAGCCTATATATGTGTTTGCAGAGAACGCTAGCAAGAAAACATATTTTTTGCCACGGCCTACACAATATGCACAAATTGAAGAAGAAAAATAAAGAAAAGGCACAAATTTTCATCATTCGAAAAATTCCCTTTTGAGTTGTAACCAAAAAAAAAACGAAAGAAATATTAATAATTTTCGCACATTTTTAAGAAAATTGTGCGCAAAAAATATAAATAAAAAAAAATATATATATATATAATATATTGTTTTTTGTTATGAATGAAATTAAAATCCGTTTACTTCATAAAGGTCATTATTTTTTATTGAATAATTCGTTCATGATGTCAATGTCACTTGCGCGCATTATATGTTAAAATCTGACATAATTTTATGCAACCTTATTTTCTCTCGCTCTCGTCATTCGCCATCCCCTCTAACATAGTTAACACTTTCTGTTAGCATTTCACATTTCCTTTGCCTTTTCATAGCATATACAACACAGCGTGAATCTCATCATTGCGACCATTCAAGAATTAATGTGATATGTTGATCTTGTTATTTCAGTTGTAACATTCAACAAATTTTTATATAGAACGTTCCTGCAATATATGTATAAATAATGAAAACAATTTTTGGTAATTATTGAGATCTCAATAGTGATAGAAATCCCGTCATTGCAAAAATTCCATAAACATTGAAGATTTGCACGTAAATTATTGATTCCAAGTAGCATGAAATTCTAACTTGATGTCTGACGGAGACGTCTGTCCGATAAAAATTGTGTAAAAAGCACTATTCGTTTTATATGGCTGCTGAATAAGCTTCCTCTAGAATTAGTTACCAGCGGACTTAAAAGCAAAATTCCCTTAACATCTGCATCTCTATATAGTGTTTGAAAAATGTAGTCGGTTAATTGAATAAATAATGACAACATTTTTATGATTTTTATAAATTTATCGAAAGTGAGGAATATAGCGATTTGCCTCAAGGCGAAGGCCAATCTATGGTACACGAGCTGCGTTAGTGATTTAAGCATAAAATGTATCTTGAATTATCGAGCCCCAGTTAGCGCTAAAAATAAGTCAATATACGGAATTTTTTGATCTGCATATAAGATGTGTAAGTCAAAGTTCATTTTAACTCGACTATAGTTTTCTAAGTTGTTATTAAACTATTGATAAATTTTCATAGAAACATATTTACACTTACATAGTTGTGGAAAAAGGGCGAAAAGACAAAATGCAACAATTGACCTAGATTTTCTATATGTTATATATATATATATATATATATATATATAGTAGTAATATATATTTGTAGTAATATATATTTGTTACAACAACAAATATCATATCATTAAGCATAAAATTGCTGACATAGACAGAAGGAGAATATATAAGCCTAAAATAGATAGCTGCTCACAGCACGCTATCCGTACATATGAGCGCATGTGATTGTAACATTTCGATATCCTGATTTCTTTTTTAATTTTGCAAATGAAACGCACACGCTGTCATTTTTTTCGTGTAAACGGGTTTTGATAATCGAAAAAATTTTAATAAAAGTATAATAAGCCTTCCATTATGATAACATGGAGTGTCACGTTAACTGAAAAGTTCATAGAGCGTAAATATTAAAACACATTGATAAATTAAAAAACATTATTATACTCTTCAGTTAATTCTTTCATAATTACGCGCTAATTCACAATTTCTGTAACACATTCAAGCGCATTTACCCTTTTCCTCTTATCTGAAGAAAAAAAACGTTTCCATCAAAATTTTTTTTCTAATTTTCGGGATAGTTTAAATCAGAAGTCATTAGGCGGTACAACAACTCATCATACAAACAAACCATTTAATAAAAAGATCACCACTTCAAGCCAACACAATGTGTTAACGAACACGTTATTGTTTTTTTTCGCTGAATTAAACCTTTTCTGTGAAATTTTTACGCGCAAATTGTTGCAAAAGCTTACGTTATATTCTAATTTCGTGGTCAAATTTGACTATCACTGGTTCTTTTAAATATTGTATCGTAAAATTCCCTTTGCGATTTTACGCATTTATCCGACATTTTTTGAAATTAACTTCGGTCCAATGAATTGTGATCCTTAGGATAGCATAGATTTTATTTGCAGATTTTAGAAGATCTACCTACAAATTGTTTACATGAACCTATATTTGCAAATGCTTCTTCGGATCTTGTCCATTTGAATATTAAGATTCAACTTTCTTGACTCGACTGACTTTACCTTTCGCAAATATTCCGCTTATATACCCTTTCAAAAGCTACACGCCAGCGCCAACGGTACCTTTTTGTGTCGACCCTTTTTTCTACGATATGTTCAGGGAATTGTTATAAATCTTTTCAACAACCGGCTGCATCCGCCAAGGAAAGCCTCATGAATATGTATTTGATCCGACCATTTTTGGAATTTGAGTTTTTTTCTAACAATATAAGCAATATCTATTCTAGGGACAGATAGTGATAATATCCGACATATAATATAAATGCTTTGGTTAGCAGTTGCACTCATTGGAAATTTAGAAATCGGAAAAGTACGCCCCGGTAACATAATAGGTCGAGGAGAAATTCAATGTCGTTTTCTCCGCTAGCCGCCTTGGACAATAGTAACCTTACTAAACCGTACAATAGGGCTTGTAAAAGGTGTGCGAGTTCATAGGTAATTTAAAAAAAATACAGACTGTGACATTTGCTAACTTTGTTACTATTATAACTATGCAGATCCTGCCGTAATAAATAAATAAATAAGTAAATGAATCATTTTACTGAAAAGTGGTTACGTTTAAAAAATGGACCAAAATTTCCAATAAATTTGATATTTTAAAATACCACTTCAACCGCAGCGATACCGCTCCTCAGGCTCATGGAAAAATTCGCATTGTTTGTAGCGCAAATGCTTCATCAAAATTTCCTATTAGTCTTTCTCGTTACTTTTACACTTTCTGCTTATTTGTAGCTAGTTTTAGGTTAATATCTTTTAGAAGGCTTTATACGTCATACATTGCTTCCCTGTGGGAAGAACCCTCCATTTGCTTATCTGATTTGTGGCCGTTAGGCAAAAAATATAAGTGTCAAGCAGTAGTTCCATTGGCATGGACCATGAACGTACATTGAACAGCCGGCCGTCAGACTGGCGGACAGGAACATATCAATTGGGAGTCCAGCAAATATTTCTGGTTGTTACAAGACGAAGCAAAATCGTGGAAAATGTCAGTTGGGATTATTTCCTTTTCGCTTGCACAAAGCCCGGTCCCGTCTCACCGTTCATCAAAATTCGCATTTGTGTTCATGTATATACGATATACGTGGAATATAACTCTTTGCCAATTTTACTGCGTTTTATGCCTATTGTCCTAAAAATTTGATGATCACTTGGTCAGTTGATTTAATATTTCTATCTTGAACTACTTTCTTAACATAGTCTGATGGGACACAAGAGCTTGAATTTTCGAGCAGATAATCTGAATCGGCGCGTCTCTTCCATAATTTATATATAGTGTTTGCGCTATAATGCGAAGTCATCGATATGGTTTTCGATGTTTGAAAATAAAAAATATGTTTATTACCGCGCGGTATAGGAGAAATAATTCATCTGTGACCTTAACATTTTTTAGGGGGATAATATGTGACCAGGTTTGATTAGGTGCAAGTTCGCGGATGCGTAAGGGACTAAATAATCACGCAGAGTACGTTGCTCTACTTGCGGTATATTAAACATGTGTTTACCTTCCATTAGTCTGTTAATTATTTCTTGAAGAGATTTAAACGTACATATCCGTTCGACAGCTGTCGATGCAGGTTGCATCGGGTGTTGCATGCACACACAAACACACTTAATATACTCTCGCACCAGAAGCGATGGAGAGCATAATTATTAGCTTAAAATTGAATACCTTGGACCTATTGGCTAGATGAAGTGTTGGCGCCTCAACATAATGACCAAATTTTACTGTGTCAGGTTACTGTAACCACGTGCCAAAGCTTTGTACAGGAACGCTTTGTTAAAGTAGTGTCGCTGGCATTGTTCAAATGCGCCGCTAACAGCACACATATTGTTTGCGGGTTACAACTAAATTGCTTTACCCATAACCATAACTAACTCACAACGTTTCTAACCTACTAACGTTTTGTAAAGTATTCGTACCCTGCAGGCCAAAATTGTTATCTGTTTCATTTATTTTCTATTGCGTTAGTATTGCTTTATGAAACGCTCCAAACTTGAAGATATGCGTCAGTCGTTTACAAGAAAGCCGGGGAATTTCATAAAAGGTGACATTTGAAAACGTTTTGATATGCAGTCAGCTTCTACTGGTGACGGCGAAACACCGCGTCACATGTAAAGCTCTATAAAGCTATTTGAAGTTCTTTGAGATATTCGTGAAGAACGGTTAACAAAACACAATAGCAAATTGTAGGCATATTTCTCACGCAGTGCTACATTTACTGTGTATGTGAAGGATGTTTTCTTTGTTTTTAGACGAAGGAAAAAAATTGCACTTTGTCAGCCCCGCACGAAGGAAATCAGTTTTAGCACCGATATTAAATAAAATTAAAAGCGGCACTGATGGTAGTGGCAATACATCCGATACCGAAAGGAAATCGAATGGCACTGACAGTACGGGGCATATTAGCGTGCAGATAGAACCGGCTAAAAGGGTGAAGGTGAGTAGAGAGCTAAACAAAATATTAAATAAAAGCCAAGTACGATGTTACGGAATTTTTTTATTTTCTTTTCCATTTAATTTTCACGAATCTGTATACAGCGTCACAGCATACACGGCATGATGGAAGAGGAGAATATAATCAGGCCACATCAGGAAATTCGTCAATTGACGTTGGAGGAAAAGAAATTCCTTTTGGCTGTGGAACGCGGTGACATGGCAGGAACACGAAGGTAAGCTATTCGTTGACTAAAATAATTTGCGAATTATCCTTTTTCTCACGTACGCATGACGTAAAAGGATGTTGCAAAAAGCTCAGGACACTGACTATATAAATATCAACTGTGTGGATCCATTGGGTCGTACTGCTTTGCTCATGGCTATTGATAATGAAAATTTAGAAATGGTGGAATTATTAATCAATTATAACGTGGACACTAAGGACGCTTTACTGCACTCAATATCAGAAGAATTTGTGGAAGCCGTAGAAGTACTATTGGATCATGAAAATATAACATTTCAAAACGAGGGAAATCATGTAAATAATTGTGAAAATGGCAAAATGTAAAGGAATAACTGAAAGAGTTTCTTATTGTTTTTGAAGAGTTGGGAATCATCGTCCGAAGACACCTCTACATTTACGCCAGACGTAACCCCACTGATCTTAGCTGCCCATAGGGATAATTACGAAATTATAAAAATTCTACTAGACCGAGGTGCAGTATTACCAATGCCTCATGATGTTCGGTAGCTACATTATAAAATGATTTAATTTAATGAAATTTTAAAAATGTGTTCTTATAACCTTGATGTAAAATATAGTTGCGGGTGTGATGAATGTGTTCAGTCAAGACAAGAGGACTCTTTGCGTCATTCTCGTTCCCGTATTAATGCTTATCGGGCTTTGGCTAGTCCCAGCTTGATTGCCTTATCCTCAAAAGATCCCATTTTAACAGCATTTGAACTATCCTGGGAATTGCGGCGTTTAAGCTTTTTGGAACACGAATTTAAAGTGAATTATTTGAAAGTAAACTCTTTTAAAAGTATTTGTAACGTATCATTTCTTTATGCATGAACAGAATGAATATCAGGAATTGCGTAAACAATGTCAGGATTTTGCCACCGCTCTGCTAGATCATACGCGCACCTCTCATGAATTAGAAATTTTATTAAATCATGATCCTACCGGACCTGTGTACGAGCATGGTGAACGTATGCATTTGAATCGTTTAAAACTGGCCATTAAATTGCGTCAAAAGAAGGTAGAAAGTGAATTTTATCCTTTCTTTAAATGATACTTCATTGGTATTTTTTTTTTATAGTTTGTAGCCCATCCTAATGTCCAGCAGTTATTGGCGAGTATTTGGTATGAAGGTTTGCCAGGCTTTCGTCGTAAGAATATGGCCTTGCAAGCCGTGGATATAATACGCATAGGTCGCTCTAATTTTGTGTGTTTGGAAGGATCGGCTAAAAACCATTTTCCATTTACTTTCAGGAATAATGTTTCCCATCTTCTCTTTGGCTTACATATTGGCGCCGTATTCAAGCATAGGACAAACAATGCGTAAACCTTTTATAAAATTTATATGTCACAGTGCCTCTTATTTTACCTTTTTATGTAAGTCAACGTTTTTATGGATGTCCGCCAACATTGAATGAGAATTTGCTTTTTCAGTTTTATTAATGTTGGCTTCGCAACGAATAGAAACATTTATAGGCGGCTGGTTTTGGAGTGAAACAAAAGCTGTCATACATCATCAAGTGGAGGAATTGCCCACGAAAAGAGGAGCCAAACCAACGTTTATAGAATGGCTTATACTGGCTTGGGTTAGCGGTAAATTTTAGCTGATATCTTTTACAGATCTTTTAATGAAACTAAAAAAATGTTGTTCTTATTCTTCTTCATTTGCCCTCTCTCCCTCTCTCTCTCTCTCTCTCTCTCTCTCTCTCTCTCTAGGCTTAATTTGGAGTGAAGTGAAACAATTATGGGATGTTGGTTTGCAAGAATACCTTAACGATATGTGGAATGTGATTGATTTTGTTACAAATTCCTTGTATGTGGCTACAGTGGCTTTACGTGTAGTATCATTTTTTCAGGTAATTGTACGGTGTTTGATGATACGATATAATTAAAATTTACTCGAAAGATGGGCAATTTTTCTACAAAAACCGCAACACTAACTTTGGGTTATAGGTCTGCGATCTGTAGCAGTGAAGTTCTACGAATTGCGAAATGCGGTCAGCTGACGTGCGTCTTCTTGGTAGGATCGGTTTAAGGGGTTTGAAAGCCCACAATACTCACGAAAGCAAACCTCGGTCAAGTCAGTCGATTGCCAATTATTGCTCTCAAAGTTACGTTCGAGATGAAAGACTTCAAGATCTGAAATCCGCAATAAACATGTATCATGGGTCATAAATGGACTATAGGAATGTTCCGTCCGTTCCGGTTATAAAAAGTTTCGATAAGTGTGCGCATCTTTATTTGACGCATAATTGGTTCTCTCGTTTTCTCACTGCGTGAACACATATACACAGGTGATTCATGTTAGTATTAAGTGAGAAGTAATCGCTTAACCACGGCTATTGGTAAAGCCCATTTACGTCGCTGCATTTTGTGCGAATTCCAATAACGAAGAAGTACAGCAGAAGCGTTTCGAAATTGGTTGGAAGTATTTGGTGAAGATACAGTTTCTGGTAACACATGCAGAAGATAGTTCGAACAATTGCAAATAGGCGACTTCGCCTCGTTCTGGGCGATCATCTTTGAATGAAGACGACAAAATTGGAGACCATATTGAAGAAGAATTCTGTTTTAACAACATCGAAGATTGCGGAAAGGCGTTTTATTGTTCGCAAACTAGGATTCTAGGAACGGACAGAACTTTCCGATAGCCCTAATATAAAGCTGTCTTATATAAATAATGGTCCTCTCCTGAACTTTTACAGTTTTATTCAATATTGGAAAGTTTTTATTACAGATTTCACCTTTGGCAATACAAAACAGACTTGGATGTCAGAATGTTACTATGGTTTTGTATTATAGTATTCGTTACACCGTAACTTCTTGATTAGATCATTGGAATACATAAAACCAGTAGGAAAGCTACGCTAACATTTAGTAACCGAGACAGTTTTTTGATCTACTATGTCAATGAGTTCGGTGAAATCATTATTTAAGCTATTTTTTTTGGTTTTCTATTTATAAAAAGAAAAATTCAAAAATTGGATCCAATTTATCAAAAAATATTTAAAATGTTTTGATGACAAGAAGCGAGCCTTGCAAAACAACATGTTTAAATAGATTTAGAATTTATATAGTTTAGTGAATATTTAATGTGACGCGCACTGAGCGGAGAGGGTATTGACATCTCCGAATCAATTCGGTGTTTATGTTTCGCCTGAGTGGTCAAGTAGATAAGATAAGGGATCTTAACTAACAACTCCAAAGTCGTGGATTCAAACACCAGATGTGATGTAGTTTTCAATAAAGCCGATAGCCTTGGATGCTGGTGCTTTAAGACTTTAGTCATTAGAATGTATTTCTCTGACTAAATTAAGTAACTCACGAACAGTTCATATGCAAAAATATTCGTATTTTTAATCTAATTAAAATCGAGAAAGTGGGCATAGGACCTGACCTATTCTTTATTTATATACTGTTTCTTTGACCATTTTTAATTACAAAAGATTCCTTCATTTATATCAGATAACAAAGCGAGACGAACTTTTTTCGTCTGCTGCTTAGACAGCGCAAGTGAAAGATATTCACTTCTTCAAATCAGTCTAAAGAAAGTAATCTTAAATTAGTTGCACAGATTACCAAACACCGATTGATTTCGAATAACTTCCTGAAACGATTTAAGCTCGTCCGTCCATCTTGCCTTCTTGTGTTTGACATACAAGCCGCAATTTTTGAGATATTTTTGATGAAATTTGACACACTGGCGTCTTGTGGGCCTAGGATGACTTATGGCTTATTATGAAAAATTGTTACATGGATGTAGATACATTGTAGAGGGGTATATGCTATTTAATGGTAAGCCACGGCCCACTACAGCGCTTTTACTTGTTTCTGATTAAATTTTGCAAATCTTTCACAATTTTTCTCTCTCTTTCGTTTTTAGGTTCAAAAAGAAATGATAACTAATCCGAATGCAACCGATCTACCGCGTGAGCGTTGGGACACTTGGGATCCAATGCTCATATCGGAAGGTCTATTTAGTGCGGCCAACATTTTCAGTAGCCTCAAATTGGTTTATATATTTTCCGTAAATCCACATTTGGGGCCACTGCAAGTGTCGCTCTCGCGCATGGTCATGGATATAATGAAGTTCTTCTTTTTATATGTGTTAGTGCTTTTCGCTTTCGGCAGCGGCTTAAATCAATTGCTATGGTTCGTTAAGAGAAAATTAAATGTCTATGGAGGAAAGAAAAAGGTGTTCATTTTATTTTTACATTATCTTAAGGTATTACGCGGATTTAGAAAAGAAACGTTGTCCAGAAGTTTCCCCCACCAATGTTTTAATTAATTTAAATGGTACCACTGATCCAAATGCTTGCATTGTATGGCGACGATTTTCCAAGTTAGTACTAAACGCATAAAAACCGCGTATTCATTATATTTAAAAAAAAAAAATTGTAGTCTTTTCGAGACAACACAAACTTTGTTTTGGGCCGTATTTGGTCTTATCGATCTGGATAGTTTCGAGTTGGACGGCATCAAGATATTTACCCGTTTCTGGGGTATGCTAATGTTTGGCACCTACTCCGTTATAAATATTGTTGTCCTACTAAATTTACTAATCGCTATGATGAATCATTCCTATCAACTGATATCGGTGAGTTTGTTTCCCCTCTACTTTCAAAATGAAATGCAAATATTTTTTTATCTAATTCACTCTAAGGAACGGGCTGATATTGAATGGAAATTTGCTCGCTCTAAATTATGGATTAGTTATTTTGAAGAAGGTGGGACTTGTCCTCCACCTTTCAATATTATACCCACACCGAAATCGATATGGTACGCTTTTAAATGGGCTCGACGTGTATTCTGTAGCGGTTCGTCGGCAGCTAGGCGCGAACATTTGAAGACAATTAGAGTAAATACACAAATTTGAAACTGGAAACCGATCTAAAGTTTTTTAATTAACGCTAAGGATATAATTTTTTGTATTCTTTCACGTCTAGCGTAAAGCACAGCAAGCAAATGATCGTGATTTCAAATACCAACAAATTATGAGAAATTTGGTCAGACGCTATGTGACTGTGGAGCAACGTAAAGCTGAATCGCAAGGTGTCACTGAAGACGATGTCAATGAAATTAAACAAGACATATCAGCATTCCGTTGTGAATTGGTGGAAATACTAAAAAATAGTGGAATGGATACTAATGTATCCGCGGGGCAGGCAGGAGGTAAATATTGTTATTAATACTGTCACTCTTACTACTGCTACTGTTACTTAAACTGACAACGGGTTTTTCTCTTGGTGGTCTAAGAGGAGCATCTGACGAAGGTTCTCTATTCTTAAGAAAGGAGGACAGTTGGGTGTGTGGTGTATGACAACGTTTTCGGCTCTCTGAGAAGTGCTAAGAAGCGAGAGAATAGCTCACATCCATTTCCTATTTTTGTACCCCAACGGGGATCGTCCTACTCTTTGAGGGGCATCATTTATCGCTTATCAAATTAACTTATTCGCCATTTCGCTGAAGGATAAAGTTCTAGATAGCAGGTGCTCACTTGAAACCACTCTGACATCTATTAGTACTATTCTTACTATGATTATTATTATAATTAATATTACAACTGGTACTGCTAGTACAACTACCAGCTCCACCACAACAGCTATTAGTACTATCACTCTTATTACTACTGTCACTAATAGCAGTCTACTACCTGCTATTGCTACTATTATGACTTCTATTATTTTTATTATTATTCAGTTTTTCAACAAAAACGTTAAGTATTATTTTTTAAACTGTTACAGAATTTCAGAAACATATCGTAATGCTGTTCTATTTAACTGCGGACTTCATTAAGTTTTCTAAAATTTGACGACGAAGATTGTTTAAATTATTGCTTTGGGTGTACCAAAAACAAGACCAATTTGAGAATCGTCATGATAAGCCTGTAAACTTTGCATTACTTCTAAAACCTTTCCCCTACCTAAGCCCCACTAAAATTTCCGTACAAATTATCCGTTGGCGTGGATAACCTTAAAGATACCCGCTATAAGAGAAAAAATAACTCAGAAATTGATGCTAGAGAAACCATTTCCTAGAGCTACTTAAATTTAAGGAAAGTTCGTAATAGTGCTCTTTTACATGCATAATTAAATATATTGCTTGCAATTTATTCTATTTGGCCTGACTTGCTCGGCATCGCGAGTTTATCGTCACTTCGTCCTACGTTCGTCAAACACTCGTCGTGCTTCCGAGCACTTCCTAAATAAATGAAAATAAGATAAGTCGATAGCATGACTTTAATTTACCCCATTCTATTCGAAGGTTTCGGCTGACAATTTCCCATTTTAAAGCCTAGGCTAAATTCGGTTCATTTTTAGGTTATGTCAAACAAACTGAGCTTTTTTCAACATATTCTAGAATTGTGGCCTTTGTACAGTTTTTCAGGAAATCCGGGCATGATAATTAAGATAAGCCAATTTACTTCGACTGCGAGAGACGCAGGAGTTAAGTCGTAGACAATCTATAAATTTCACTTAACGCGCACTTTTACTCAAAGGCGTGATAGCCAGAAGTTTGTTTTGAGTAGAGATTTCCGAATATACGTAATGGAATCAAAATTCGCTTTGAGGATAAGATAGCTGTCTCGCTTATTTATTTTTTCCTTTTTAAAATTGTATTTTAATGTTATTTAGGAGGTGGCGGTGGTAAAAAGAATCGCCAGAAAGAAAGGCGCTTAATGAAGGGTTTCAATATAGCACCTCCGGGTTCTACTGGCTCTTTAGCACCCGTTGCGGAATTTTCCACATCATTGGATAATTTCGAGCAACAGCACGAAATTTTAACATCTACTCTATCAACCCTATTCACCCCGACATTTATGCACAAAAAACCCAGCTATTGTGCTAGTGATAGTTGCAACAGCATGGAGTCACCTTCCGCTCTACCGCCTGCAACATTAATGCCTCCAATGAATACGGTACAGACTATTAATAAATACAACAAGTCGGCATTGAAACCATACAATAAACGTATAGCGGGTCATAAGAAAAAATGGGGCACATTGATAGAAGCAGCCAAAGTTGGGAACGTAACAAAAATGTTAGGACGTTCAAAATCCGAAGATTCTGTTTGTAATTCTTCACAAAACTCATCACCTGTCCATGGACAAGTACGAGTAACGTATTCACAAAATTGCGGACAAAATTATTACAACAGTGGTAGTGGTGGCGAAGCGAATCTCTCTAATTCATCTTACAATAAAGACTATTTAAGTACAAAGCAAACTGGCAGTCATCTAAGCCACGCATTACATGGTATTGGCGGCGGTGGAGGAACACATTTTTTTCACGCTACTACTGGTTAGAAAAATGCTTTTTAAAAATTGCTTTTGTTTTCCTGCATCACATTTCTTTCTTTGCTTACAGGTCTTACCGCTATTGCTGCATTGAAAAAGAAACGTAAAAAGTTTTCTTCAAGTAAAAACATTTGTCCGGTTAACGAATCCATATCGACTGCGAATGGAGTGGATCTTTTAAGCGATAAGGTTTCGTATACTTCTAGCTGATGATGTTTGTATTCTTCTCGGTTTTATTATTATTTTCACTGTCAAATAAGTTCAGTTATTACCTACAAGCAAAAAAAACAAGACACGGCATATTCCGCACTGCATTGGTATATTCATTGTAGCCTACATCAATCGTTGTACACGGTATATTAAGTTTGTGCGGATGCACGTAGCATCCAGGACAGCTTGAAATAAAAACAAGTTTTGTTGTATAGAAAATGATTTGGGATCAATTTAACCTTGTCTGTCTGTCCATCGTATGTTTGCGCATGTATCCTTAGGGGTCGCATGTTTTCAGATGTTTTGATGATATTTGACTATCCAAGATGGATTGAATCGGAGCACTTTTTCGTCCCCTTCCCAAAATTACCATATGAAAAACAAGTAGAATATTCGAAAATTCTTGACAAAAATGGCTGACTAATAGTATTTCGGAATATTAAATTAATCTGAAAAAATGTGACTCGGATGGGGCAACTTTCTGAACCAATTCCCACATAACCTTTCCAGGCGAAAACTGAGCCTTACTATGATCAAGAGATCTGACTTTCAATTTTTTATGGTGAAACTTGGTCCATAATAATAATTTGGTACAAAAATTGACTGGAACAAATTTGAAGTGCAGGGATTTTTTAGACCATATACCATACAAATTTTCTGAAAAGTAGTAAGCACTTTGGAAAAAGGTTTTGTTTGAATTTGAACATTTTATGATAAAAATTGGTCCATGGTCCGTGGTTTGATGTTAAAATTAATCGTAGGAAATTTAAACCACCTAGATCTCTATTTAGATCCCTTTATACGCGGAGGTTTTCAGCAAAAGTAAGCTCTCATAAGGCAAAAAAATGTAATTTGAGGCTTTACTTTGACGAAAACAGTTGTAAAATAACGGAATCCTTGACAAATAAATCAAGTCTGCTAAATGTAAATTACGTCTATCTGTTATCTAACGTTTTTTATACTTTTCTGTAATTGTCACCAATTCGAACTTTTCATTTATTGTTCTTCCTATTGAAGGCTTTAAAGCGAGTCTCTAGTTATCCAGCATCGACAAATGATGCCAATGCTCAAAATAAAGATCCAGCTATTGGGGCCAAGCCACGACGTCACGAACAAACACAAAGCCAACATGATTCGGTGGAAACGTCTGCAGAATTTACACTGTCCAGTGAAATACAGCATTTGGACCCGTCCAATACATCGGTCAATTCACGTGAACCACTGATAAGTAATAGTTGCGCCTCCAACGGTGTTATGAGCTAAATAATGCGAACATAAAAAAAGCAAACAAACAGAAAGGAATATTTTATGCGTATAAACACACACACATGTACACACCTACATATCACACTCAGTAAATAAATGAAAAAATAAGAGGTTTTTCAATTAATCCGCCAAGAATATTCAGAAACAATGCTGCCATTTTGGACCACTGCCTTATATCCTAAAAATCTGACAACAAAATAATGATGAGAAGTGAAGAAGCATATGAAAAAAAAGAAAAAAAGTAGAAAATAATTTAAACAATTAATCATATTTATTATCATGCATAGAATAACGAACTAAATGAAACAATCGATGCACTTGCCGTGCATTCCACCCAGCAAAGCGCAAAAAAGCATTCAATAAGTTTAATAAAAGAGAAAGAAAGAACTCAATACATCACACACACAATGAAACACAAACATATATAAATATAAAAGTTTAATCATTGAATCAAATGAAAAGATAAGAAAAAAACCAAAAAAGTTTAAATATATCGCATAAATAATCGAAGCAACAAACATAAGATAATGCCATGCCATGCACCATTTGTAAACTTTCATTTTACCATTTGTTTTCCAAATAATTTCAATGAATTCATAAAAACGTGCAAATACACATGTAACAATAACATCCGGTCACATCTCATAATATTTTGTAAACATTCGTAACATTGCGTCAGATACGAACGCGAATACCAAACAATAGTTTTCACAATTAATTACCAGAACATTGGGGTATGTTAACTTTGCAATTATATATGCAGCATACAACAGGAAAATGCATCGAGAGCTGCCCAAGAAAGATCACATATTCCATTAGCACCACACGATCTCTATATCCATTTATTCTTGCCCATCCGTCTGCCTACTTATTCTGGAAATTGTTAAAATTACAAAAATCCTTACAAAGTGAAACAAAGTGTGAACCATATATTCTTTGCAATGTTCCACTGATCGATAAGGAAAATGCAAGAATTTCAGCGAATTTTCTCACAGTAACTTCAGATATTACCAAAAAATACTTATAAGTCTCCAGTAAATATTTGATGTGAAAATGGTCGCAATCGGCAGAGTAGCCAACAACATACGCGTTTCGTTTAGTCTTCCTGAACGTAGTGGATTTTCAGAATTCTCCTCCACACACTATACATAATGTTATGGTTTTTTTTCTTAACCTAGAAATATCTATTTCAAAATTCCTTAATTTAGTTATGTCTGTTATCTTCTTCCGGCATTCTTATAAGTCTAAAAACGTATCGCTACGATTTGAAGGATTATTGGTAGAATAAAAATAATAGAATAAATTTGCGATGCAAAAGCATTTTTCTATTTGACTCAATACATATTCAGTTCATTAAAATATTTCCTTCATTCCAAAAATAAATTCAAATTCAAATAATTTCAGTTTTCGAAAGAGAACAAAGAAAGATGGCCCATCTGACTGAACAGTGTGGCGAGTCGCAATGTAATGTCTACATTCGCACTGTTGCAAATGCACTATCACGAGAAGGAGCGTAGTCTGGCAGAAAAATGAAATTAAATGAAACTAAATTAATGCCTTTCCTTCATGCCTAGCTGATCTTAACGATCTGCGTTTTCTAAATTCATTCATCGTTCGTCATCTAACAAAGTGGTTTTTCACTCGATTAAGCCATTTTAACTGCCTCAACCAAGTTTAAAGTTGCGAGCAATAATACTAAGCCCAAACCTTATTATTCGCTTTAAAAATTTATACCATACACAGCTTGTGCTATGATGGTATATTAAGCTTGTGCGGATATATGCGACACCCACAAAGATATGAGATAGATGCACTTTTCATAATACCGATTGATTTAGAGTCACTTTCTAAATCGATTTAAATCTGTCTATCCATCATTAACCAACAGGCCGCAACTTTTGATGAATTTGTTGCAGCTTACGAGCGATAAGAAAAATACCCATTTTGTTTCTTTAGAATCAGAGAGAGAGCATGTCCTTTGAACAAATCAAACTACAAGCAAGAAATTCCAATCGTTATTCCAAACTTCAAGCCGATATCTTTATTTAAGCGACCAGAAGAATGTTTGTCAAGCACATTGCAAGGACACAGAAATATTTTGGCCCAAGGACGAACGGTATTCGAATCGAATTACTTCTCTAAAACCGTATTTTGAATTTAGTGTAGAATATTCCATGATGGATCGCATGCTTGTTTTAATTTAAATTTTATACGGAAACTTTTACTGAAGGTCATGTCTGAGCATTGTTTAAAAGACGAGAGATCTATGAATTGCTTTTTCAACGTCTTCTCAATCTTGTAAATGTAAGAAACATCGAGCCCCTCAGCAATTTCACCAACACGGATTTAAAATAATCTTTGAAAATCTTTAAAATTAAAGAAAAGTTTGAAGTCGAATCGTAGGACGACCACAAGAAAAGAAGACGGAAAAAAAGTAATTCTGAATCGACCGGTATCACAGAACGTGGATTTGTTTCAAGTTCACCTAGGTGCCGCATACATCCGATTACAGATGAGTTTTCAATGTCTTGAATCTTACTTGGGTAAAGGACAGAGTTAAAAGTGATCAGCATTATTAGAGCCCTAAATAACGCTCCTCACTTAAAAAGATAATGTCACCTTGCTAACATAAAATTAAGCGTCACTTTCTGGCATTTGTTTACGCAATGATATTGTTGGCAAAATTTTTTGCAATTTTTTGCTGGAGTACTTAAAATGATTTATTTATAATGTTGTCTGTTAAGAAAGAATAGAGAGCAATGTAGTAGCTCTTGGTAAACAAAAACAAAAAATACTTCCTGTAGAACCTCCTTAGCTCTATGACCGTTGTATGTGAAAAAAAAATTACAACAATTCTGAAAATATTATTTTATGAATAAGCAACCGCGTACGATATTTTTGGAAACATATTGGTCGCAATTCAAATTTAAAGTCACTCAATCAACTGAGAAGAGAAGTAATAGCTGGAAATATGATAAGTTTAAAAAATATAGATTCGATGAAGTTTCAGTTAGACGCACTTTTTAGAAGTTTTATGAAGGGACTTCACTCGCAAAGTCGAGCTTTTAAGTCTCACAACGATAATTTGCCCTCTATAAAGCGTTTGCGTTCACATTATACCGTACACTACTTATGGCACAAGCGTATACTAAGCTTTTGCGGATGTGTGCAACCGAGAGAAGAACTTGAGATAGTCCCAACTTTTATCAATAATGCCCCAAGACTAGAGTGTAACCTACCTTAAGAAGAAGCGCTCTCTTGACCTTACTAAAGACATAAAGTAGAGGAGAAGGCGAGTGAATCTCTAAAAATGCTGGATCTATCATTGCAAGTGTTGAGACGAGAGAACAAGAAATTTTACAAATTACCATAGGTAGATTAGAAATGAATCATATGAAGTTTCTCAAATTTTAAAAATATTTTTTTTTGTCTTTTTTTTCTTTACAAAATCCATTTGCTTTTTTATAATGATGTTAATCATAACATAAACCAAGAAACAAATGAAACGACAAAAATTACAACATAAACAAAATTTAAACAACTATTCATATCGATGTTAAAAGTTGCCTTAGAAACAAAAAATTTTGTAAGATTTTCGATAAGCATTTAAATAAGCAAAACCAACAAGAGTAACAAATAAGTTGAACAAAAACAAATTATATAATTATTTTATACACCGATTTTAAAACAGATGAAAAACAACAAAACTGCAGCAACAATAACCAATAACCACTAATGAATGAAACCACAAACAGAAACCAAAGATCTACAAAGAAAAACAAAACGAGGAAAAAAAAAAAAAAAGAAAAAAACCAAATAGAATAAAATTTTAGGTAAAATGTATTTTTCGTTTTTTCTCACTGGACAGCTACAGAGCAGACAGAAAAGCAGATCGAAACGAAACCAAAGCAAACATTTGAAGAGTTACTCAGAGAAAATCTCAAACTTGAAATAAATATATTTCAGTTACAGGTAAAGTTTGCGTCTTTTAAAAGTTTTTTATACATAAAAGCATGACAAACAAAATAATATAAAAAATTAACAAAAATGAATTATTTTTATAGAGCAATTATGTTAACAATTGTAAAAACAATATATTATTAATATTAGTATTGCTTATTATTAAGTTATTTAAATGTTATAACATTTAGTTTTAGATGCACATACAATGCTAATGCAAAACTTAGCCGGATACATTGTAGTGAATGAAGAATTGACTAATTGAATAATAATAAACAAATAAAACAATAATATTTCTATAATATTAGAAAAATTATTATTATTATTATTTTAATTTTAGACTAATGAATTGAATTCTAAAAAAAGAGACATTGAGCACTAGCAACACAGGCTATCGGCTCTAGAAAAATTATATTTTGTATTTTTTTGCTAAATTCAAAAATTGAAAAACTTTTTCAGTAGTTTTCCCACGTCCCATACTTAAGGCGTAGCACCCTGACTGGGCAGAGGGGAAAAACCTATCTCCTTTCCATTTTACATGTAGGATATTTTTTGCGTCGTATTTTGATGTTTGTACATCCCTTATAGTTATATAATGATAATTATTCACTTGTTATGACTTCTTTTTGTACTTGTGAAATGGCTTTCTTGAAACTATTTGAATTGCATTGAGTTGAATTTTCGTTATCTGGTTTTTCCCTTCGTAAGGTTTATAAAAACATAACATTTTGTTTACAATGGAGAGAGCACAGAGTTGCTTTCAATAAATGAAAATATCCCTTCTGTTAAATGCAAACATCCCTTAACAAGATAAAAATATATTTTGCCATTTTTGATAATCATTCATAGCGTAAAAAAGGAAAATTTCATTGTTTAATCACATATTTCATTTTTATTTATATTCGATTGTTTATATCGGCTGTATATGAAACAAGCGACAGTCGTTAACGGCATTTAAGCTTAATTGCCACCAACGGATAGTTTGCATATTAAATTCTCAATATTTCAGTTCACGCGATCTATTCCATCAAAGACAATCGCTTCTTTTGTATAAGTACGGGCGACCAAAGACGACGGTTTCACATGACGCCCGTGCAAGTCCGTCTTCGATTAGTATTGATTTTGCATAAAAAGTTCTGAAAAATGCACAATTGCAACTCACCAATGGACCTTAAAGAAGTCTTCCTCCCCTATGTGCAAGAACTTGGAGAGCAGAATGCAGAAAGCATAGTGATGGGTACACGAGATCCGGCTTCTGCCAAATACATTTCTTATTTGTACTAAGGCATTTCTTTTCAATCGTGGCTTATCTGCGTAATTGAATACCTTAACTAAACTCTTTGCGCACTTGTAAAATGGCTTTGATCTTTCGATGAAAGCCGTTACCTGGTTTTTTCCTTTAAATGGTTTAAAAAAGAAGTACTATGTGTTGAGAATGGAGAGAGCGCAGAGTTGCTTTCAGTAAAGTGCAACGCTTTGATTATTTTAAAGTGTGTGAGAAATTGTAGTGAATATTTATTTAGTGTGAACATTATCAGCGGTTCCTTTATTGTGACTTTGGACATTAAGATTGCTTTAAGTGCCCATTACGCTATTTGTCTTATAGTATAAACTAGTGAAACTTCTGACGACGATTGCAAATGTTCGCAAGCTACAAATTAAAATTCGCTTTAATTGTATTTTAGATCATTTTTCTTTTTTAGAATATTTAATGTAATTTTAATTGTAATATAGATAACAATGAATTGAAAACTTAGTCTATGTAATTGCCAAGCCAAAGCACAAACTGCTGTACTCGACAGGACAGCGTAGAAAAGTGTAATATACGCTGGAAGAAAAAGAACCCATCTAGTAAGATCCAGGCTTTATGGGTTGGATTGGGCTATCAGAATTTGGGGCTTAGTCGTTCCAGGCATTCCAGCGCTTTAAAATCCATAGCTTTTAAGACTTATTGCACTTCATATTAAAATTAATGCGACAAGGCAATAGGAGCCTTGTTTACTGAATTTATAACAAGTGCATCAATTTGAAAATTTAAGATTTTGGCAGGAATGCCAGCAAATTAGAATCAATTAGCGAAGGATAAATCAAATTTGCCTTACAATACTTGGTTGGTTGGAATTTTTGCCTTTTCCTTTCGATTCTTAAGCTGAGCAAAAGTTTATTTATTCATTCCGCTCTGGCTCCTTCAGTGGCCGACATAAATGTTATACCCCGAAAACTTAATAAAATTTGGTGTGTTTATAATTTATTGATCGTTTGAAAAAAGTATATCTCTTCGTACAATTAACAAAACAGTGGACGTCTAAACGAATACCATAAAATAATGTAAAAAAATTATAAAATATAACATCGTCAACGCAATTTTTTTCAAATTATTTGTTTAACAAGTCTTTCAATTGTTGTTTTAACAACTCATTCTCATCCTTCAGTCTTAAAAGTTCATTGACAAATGGATCCGTCTGCAACAATGCGGCTAGCCAATCTCGTATATTCTCGGTTTGTTCTATATTTTGTTTCCATAAGTTGAAGTTTTGAGTAAAAATCTGCCATTTATTATTTTCAATCATGAATTTTAGTTCGCATTCCAAATGATGAAAACGTTGCAACGTCTCTTGACGTAAATCGGAAATTGCTTTAAAAACGTTTGCATCTGGGACCGGTGTTGTACAGTGTGCCTGGCCTTCTAGACTTGCTGGAGTATTGTTTGGCGTATTATTTGTCGTAGAGGAGCCTTGCGGCTTAGTTGCAGTCAATACATCCTCCATAGAGGCATGTTCACGATTCGGTGTACTATTGCAGGCAATCGGTGCATGCAAACGGCTACTGCTCAAATTCGTATCGTTAATTTGGGGGTTTTCTTTTTCGCTGCCAGAATCAACATATTTTTCTAGGTCTACTAGGTGTTTTTCTTCCTCTTTAATTTGAGCTAATTTGCCAGCGTTTGTGTGTAAAGAAACACTATTACGATCTTTCAGGGGAACTTTTAAGAAATCCGATGTGTTTGCTTTAAAATCGCAAATGTCATTATTGGTTGTTAAATGCTCAAAGGAACGATTTATATCCGGATGTGATTTATGTGATAAACTTTCCCAATCAAAACTGTCACTACGTAAAACACGGGAAGAGTTCTTTTCTTGATCACGATTAATCTGATAATCGAGAAAATCACAAAACGAATCACGTTGGCAACGTGCACCATCCGCAGCATTTGATGTTAAAGATTTACGCAGCTCGTTTTCCTTAGCACCCAGTCCCGACAACGAGATATCTGAAGTTGCTGCCACTAGGGAAGATGTACTATAACTGCTATTATCAGCTGACGTAGGAGCAAACGCTACACGTGTTACACCACAGTCATGTATTTTTTTAGATGAAAGAAAACTCTTCAAATTACGCATGTCATTTGTAATTATTTCGCCCTTCAAATTACCAGCGCAAAAATAAGTACCGCATTCACTAACAGCTACCGTCGATAATGGATGACAGTAATTTATTTGCAGTGGTTTCACTTTACGTCTCATATCAAATATATTAATCAGGCAGTCATATCCAACACTTATTAAAGTATCCGGAGAACCCGGCGATATGCATAAATCACGACATGGTGCTGCATGTGCATCACTTGCGTTAAACAACTTACGTTTTGCTTGTATATCATAAAGAGTAACTGCTCCTTTGTAAGAAGCTATCGACAAATGAAAGCGTTTGCTTGGATGAAAACGTGCCAACGTCGACCTGAAAATCAAGAATTCGTGCCAATTTTCTCAATTAACCATAAATGATTTTTATACATACTGTCCGTCAATATTAAAGCTGTCAACTTTAGTCTTTGTTTTATGACCGTAAATGTTAATTAATCCACATTCAAAAACTCCAGCTATATACTCGTCAGAAGCGTTGTAATCCAAGTATAGAACCGAATTACGGTTAGTATCTAAATTTAAGTTCGAAGTGAATGTTAAGGAAAAAAGAAGCGGAAAACAATATATATCTAACCTGCACTGAATTTGTGGATAAATTCAGAATTTTTGTAATTGTATAATTTTACTTGTCCATTGGACAAACCCACCGCCATCTCTTCGACCGATTGCTTAGCGCAAGCAACACAATAAACATTATCAATGGTCAATTTACGTACTCGCTGTATGCTAATACCTTCAACAAACAAATAAATAAACTTCTATCACTTATTCCACAAGTCCTTACCTTCATTCACTTTTTCTCTTATGCGCATTAATTCCAAGCCCGATTTTTTATTAACTTCAACAAAAATGCGCTGTTGAGTATAGAATTGAAAGTCCGTATTTTCGCCATTGCTATGTTGATAAGTAGACTTAACATCTAAATCTTGAAAACTGGTAAGCACGGTCGTTTTAGCTGTCGAAATCAGATACATTTTCTATAAATTATGTCTAAGTAAAATTAATTTGCATTGAATCCGTAAATAATACAAATCAAATAAGGAGAAGCAAGGCTCCCGTGTTTAAATTTTTCGAAAGTCAATATCGTATGCAAGGTAGATTATAATGTGACCGTATTTTGCTAGTGAATATTATATAAGATAGAATTTGTCAACTAACCGTGTTTTTACCAGTAGACAAATGATTTTTGGAATAGAAACAAAATACGTGAAAAACTTTCTAAAAGTGATTGCAAACAATTTTATTTTTTGCTTGGTAAGTAAAGGAAAGGTCGTAAATAATGAAACTTTGGCAGCATTGGGCAAATGTTCTTTCGATTTTTTTTGAAAGCATTTGTAGCGATTGAAAAATTTTTAAGAATGCAATTTAGTAACGTTAAACGATTTGATTTATTAATATAAAATTAATAAAATTATATATTATTTAAAAAAATATTGTAAACATTTGAAATTGAAGCCATTGTAGAGTGTTTTGACATCGTTGATCTTGTACAATACACAAGATCGACGATACACATTCGTCGATGCACCACAGATACCTGTTAAGATCCGCCAATTTTGAAAAAGAATTTCGAGAGCCCACCAATGTTGCAAATCAAAGGACACAGAGACTAAATGTGCATGTATTAGACACTCATGGATTCGATCATATCTTAACTTTAGTTATTACAGTTTTTCTACTTATCGGAAAATAATGTTTCCGTTGGAATTATAAGTCATATATAAAAGAGTCATCATATACCGCGATTCAACTTTCGTACCGTTGACAATAAACAGATAAAAAAAGGAAATAAAAATATTAATCGTTGCTGATGAAATAAACAACAAGCCCTGGAAATAGATTTTCTTAGCTCGCTATTATGTTGTCATACCGCTGCGTTGGAAATTCATTATCGTGAACATCGACAAGCAAGTTATTGAACGAACTTTCAAACTTTCAAGTATTCATCGTCTGGCTACATAAGAGTCCAAAATTAAGTTTGGCGCCGCTAAGCCGCTCAACTCTGCACAACAAAAATTTCTAATTCCAAATTTCTTCGCTTTACTGCAAATAATATATATTAATGTTTTATATCCTGCAAAGATCGGCCACCAGGTCGTACCATCTCGATTGATTTTACCTATGGTTTTGCAATATCTAACATTTTGTATCCTTCTACGGGCTAAGTGCTGTCAGTGCTGCGATTATGTCGTCAGCTGATTCGTCGGTATTATCGGCTGCTTCAATATTTGCCAGGAATATTTATAAATTGATTTTTCGACAAAAGGCATCCGAAATGGAAATTATGATTTTGGTTGCTATACAATTTGTGTGCTTGATGACAGGGAGCTTAAAATTTGCAAGACCAGAGCTTTCAATCGAGGAGAAACATTTCTTTGCCAATTAATGAACTTGACAATAACCTTTACAACATTTTTTCTAGTATTAAAATCTTTTCTGTTTCTAATAAATAAATAAATAATACATTTACGGCAAATTCCAGTCTTTTCTAAATAAGTTTAATTTATTTAATTTTAATATTTTAATTTTTATATTTAATACTGTTAAAGTTTCTGATATAAATCAATTAATTCCTGTATTTGTAAATGCAAAGATCATAAAATTTATTTTATTTTTATTTTTTTTATTTTAAGGGGGCTAAACTCTATCTTTAGTATTTGTTCCAAAAGTGAATAGCAATTCAAATGTTAGTTATAAGTAATCACTTATTATTAATATTTATTTTAATAATATCAACATTAATTACATTATATATTTATTTACGATTATCTTATCTTATTTTGTCCTACAAAACTATTTTGAAAATAATTGAAATAATTACTCAATTTTTATAAGTTTTACTTTTGTATGGTATATATTCCTTCTGAATTTTGCGAGGTTCGTGGCGTCGCTTGGAACTCTTTGGACCTTTATCAAACTTCTACAAAGCATTAGAGCTGTCGCGCTTCACCAAATTTGATTCATGTACAATTGCTCGCTTCGAGTTATGTACACCTTGTACTTTTGTTATTTCGCGGGTTTTACAGTGCCGTAAATGTCAACAGAGAACATTAGATTTTTCTTGCCTTCGCAAAGTCCATCATAAAGAGCGTTATAACCTCTTGGTTAACAAAAAAAAAATGTGTTGTGAATAGAGAAAGAACAGAGTTTGTTTCAATAAACGGTGGAAGAAAAATCATATCTATACTGGTAAATGAGGAAGGGTATTAAAAAAATGCGCTGGCACTTTGGCCACGGTGATAGATTGGATAGAGATAGTCTGCTCACACCAAAATTCCTCCGAAATGCCTTAAGCCTCACGAGTGCCCTTTTTCTTAAAGTTCTTACGATTGTTGTAACATTAAATTTCCTTAGAAAACTCCACCAGCCTTTCTCAACATTCACTCACTCTGTCAATGTTTCCAGCTAATTACGTCTTGTGACTTTATAACTATTATGAAAAACGACGCAAATTCCTTGAAAATAAGCCTATTAACCCTTTTTCCGCTCGCAGCAATGATCCGTGAGCAAATTCTCATGTGCATAAAATTTTTGATATTTGTATCCACGCGTGTGTGCCACGCTGTTGATTTTCAACATTTTCCCTATTCGAAGCATTTCCCCCATTTCGCAAGATAGTTGAATGATGTGTTCCATTACTTTTGACAGTACACGAGTCTTATCACGCTATACTCTCTCGAAGATATTTGGAAAATTACCGAAAACCCAAGCCATATGAGCACCAAAACGTCGTAAAAATAAAATGAGAAAATAATTGAAACTTGGGAAAGCTCTCTTTTCGGAAAGTGATAATAGTTATGCGACCTACGTGATAGCAACCAACACATGTGATATACATCTTCAATTGAGTTAATCCCCAACTTTATTAAAGTTCAAAAAATAGTTTCGTGTTCACATTTAATCTTTCTTACTCAACACAATAAATCATCTGTAAATCATGTTGTTGACTTGCTGAGTTGTGGAAGAGGGCATAAGAAATATTAGGAGCTGTTATCTACATTGATGCATAACCTACATAATATGTTCGCGTAGCAGCAAAACAATAAACAATCAGGAACAAGAATATCTTCTTTGCTATGCAAATTTTCGTCTAAAATAAGCAGAGTTCAACACTTCACTTTTAGTTCTTACTTTTACTTTCTATTCAAATATTGACGGCCCTGGGGATTAGGTTTGAAGATTTATTATAAGTGTTTTTGTACTTTTGCTACTTTCTGATGTCAAAAAAATCCTTTAATGTACGGTTTTCACATTTTTATTTCTTAATATCTTCCTTCGCTTGGCTTGGTTCAGCGTCCTTCAGTGCAGATTCGATGCCGGCCTTTTTCAATTCTTCGACTAAGTCACCGTTGTGATGCATTTGTAGGAGAATATCGCAACCGCCAACAAACTCACCATTGATGAAAACCTGTGGTATAGTAGGCCATTCCGTAAAATCTTTGATATCTGAAATGAAAGAATACGGAACATTTTTTAACATGTACAAGAAAAAAGACGAGAAAAACTCCTACTTTGCCTTAATTCATCGCTACTTAACACATCATGGGCGTCATACACCACACCATGCATACGTAATATTTGGACCACCGCATTACTGAAGCCGCAGCGAGGAGCTGATGGATTACCTTTCATGAATACTACTACCTTATTGCTAGTCACCAGTTTTTTTAAAACATCTTTGGTATAGTTTTGAGGTTCATTCGAAGTTGCACCAACAGACGACCACAATCTGGTGTTCCTCGTGTGTAGCGCTGCTTTGTATGGTAAGCTGTGGCGAAGGATTTGCCGGAAAATGGTGCCCATATTTTAAACTATTTTGTTGGCCGGTTTGTGCTTATTATTAATATTTTCGTTGAACTAAAAATTTTGAACTTTATTGCAATGAAAATTTCAGGTGATGAAATTATAATATGATACGCAAAGTTGTATTTTAATTCTTTTACATAATGAAACTATAATATAAAGTACTCAACGTTTTTATAATTTCGCTTGAATTTGTGATTGCAAGAAATTTTATATTATCATATAAATTTGTTTATTTCACTTTCGCTTCTGTGAGTTTAATTTATTTTAAGTTTTGTTAATTCATTTTTGATCCAAATTCTTTACTGCAAAGCTTAACAACTCTGTTTATATTCAGTTAACTCGTGTCATTTTTTTTTTGTCGTGAAAAGAGTGTGGATTGTGAATTGTATGAGAATACCATAAGAAATACGAAGGAAACCAAAAAAAAGAGAAAAAAATTTGTGAAAATTGTAAATTTTATTTATTAAAATAGTTGGCGAAGAAGAAGCCTAAACACATCAGACAAAGAAACTATATGTTATGTCTTGTATATCGCGTAAATAAAGAGTAAACTGTATAAACGGAGCAAACCAAATTTGCATAAAAAGCTAAAAAACAAATTTGCAAAACAATAAGTCGAAGCTCATTAAGTCATTTTCATTTTATCACCTGAAAAGTTGTACGCAGAATAGTCTTTTCGGAATTTTCGAAAACGGTGTTGTAAAAACGACATGAATCGTACTGACGGCTTAGTAAGACGAGCGGTGAGAAATCGGGATAATGGTGCCGAAGGCGGCACTGCTGGTAATGGTCTTAACGCGAATACAGCTGACGATAATCAAGACATGAACCAAAACAAAGATCATGAGGATAATATAGACGATGGCGATTCTAAAGAAACGCGCTTGACTTTGATGGAAGAAGTCTTATTATTGGGTTTAAAAGATAAAGAGGTAACTGATTGTTTTACGTTTCATACAAATTCGATACACAAACATTCTCCCATTCTCCCATCGTCATTCCGTTGCGTTGTTACGACAATTTTTGTGTTTGTAGCTTTAACTCTGAAAACTGTTTCTAATTTTATCTAAATTTATTTCGCTTATCTGTTTGTCTTGTTAGTTAGGCACTGTTGTCGTTATTTGGCGTCTTTTGTAAAATTTCTGATATTTTGTAGCGTAACTGTTCGATTAAGTTCAAGACGTGCCACATGCTGGGTCTCCTGTATATTAAAATTTGTAAATATTGTAGCTTTTTATTACTTTATGAGTATATTGTCGCTTTTTACAATTTCAACTAAAATCGTTGTTTCGGTCATAACATTTCGCACACAATATTGCAAGATTAGACGCGTTCCTAACAACGTCGGATTTGCAAGAGTTGTAGATGATGGCAATTGCGGCATTGAAAAAACCAAGATTTCAAAAGTTTTTACAGAAAAGTGTATCTACTCTTCGCGCTCAACATAGAATATTGTTGGAACTGAAACTAAGCCTAAAAGGTCTTAGAATATTGGTTATTTTCAACACTTTTTGTTAATAATTTAATAATTACGGAGAGCATTAAAATCACGACAGCGTAAGAAAAGCCATTTTGACCAACAAGCACAGAAAACAAGTGAAGATCGAGCCTACCATCACTGTAATGATTGTATTTGTCTGAAAATTTCGTAGAAACCGGATAACATCAACAAATTTAATGCTAAATTATATTCTTGCTTTGAAATTTTAGTCAATTTTTTATTCGATTTAGCGTAAGTCTCCAAAAATGATTGATGTTTAATATGCCCGAAGTTTCTATCGCCATTCTTTGCGATAACCATATAAGAAGTAAGGAATTCTTGGAACAAAAGAGATTAATTTCATCCAAAGAAAATTTAGCAAAATTGTATCAATAAAAATCTGTAGTGGTCTTCATTAGCCATTATCTAATTTAAAGCAAACGTTACTAAAGTAAAAAAAAAGAAGACAACAGAAACAAGTTTCTTTAACATTTGATTTATTAAAAGAGTAATACAAATAAAAATGTGGTTTTCAACTTGTTAATTTAAAAGCCGTCTGACGCTTAAAGATAGCTACGGAGAGTTCACGTCTTAAAACAAAAAGCTACACTAGGGCGAGGCAATAAATCACAGTTTCGTCACAACACACTAACCAGATCCTGTTCCATACTGTTTGCTTTTCATGATAATCGTTATATGAGTGGGTTGAGAAGAATAGATGTTTTTATTAACCATTTTTAAATCCTACATTACTTATGATACAAGAGTATATTAAGTTTGTGCGGATGTATTACCCAGAGGGACTTAACTTATCTTTTATTGCGCCTTTCTATTCAGAATTACGTTTCCAATCGGATTATCCTTATACGTCCATCTGTTCGTCTTGTGTTTAACTCCCCACACTTCTTTTTACGCTACGTTTTCGACCACTTCCCATATACGCATTATTTTGAAAAGTAGTTATATGAATAACTGTAGGATGGTGTAGGGTGTTAAATGAACGCCGTTGTTCCCTATAGTGTTTTTACTTGTTTGTCATAATTTAATAAAAATTACGCTTGTTGCCATGTACACGCTCATTTTTTATAAGAAGATGTGCACTGCAGGAAGCATCTTCAAAAAATTACATTTACTTAATATTTCAAAACACTATTTTGCGCGGACCGATTTCGTGAGTATTAAATATTCAAAACTATTCCTACACAATGGCTTCCTTAAAATTTGGTGTTTCATAGGGAAAGGTCGTGAAAACGTTCTAATCCGATATATATCCAAAAGGATTCGTCCTTGGACAGAAATTAATGACAACATTCTTTTAAAATATCTCGGATAGGAGCGCCGAAAGTTTTACAAATTTTTATATTTTTATATTCTGATCACTTTTTCACTTGAAAAAGGCATTTATTGTCGAAAATCGCTACACCATATGTTAATCAAAAAAGTTTCCATCATTTTCTACAACAATTTACAATATTTTTGGCAATATGACGGTATCATGTCGAAAGAACTTATATTGATTTGGAAGCGATTCACCCAACGACCCATTTTGGTACTTCTTCAACTTTGCGAACCCGCTTGCCCGCGTAACCAGGAGGTGGCATGTTTTGTGAGTATGCTGGGTGCGGCAGAACCTCTCCTTTCGAGCAGCAGTAGTGTTGCCACCTTTAAACCGTTGAATCCGACACTGGTAATTGGGATATGATGAAGCAGTGTCACTATAAATCTCTGAACGTGTTTAGTGGGTTTCGGCAGCAGATTTCTTCAAATAAACAACCAAAGTAATAAACTTGGAAGAAAATGAATTTTGGGCGCCCCATGATTAGCAAAGTCTTACGGAAAACTGTTATTTTGTGGAGCGGAAGGTCAAAGCCCTCGAATTCAACCGTTATGTGCACTGATATTTCTCATTTCTTTATCATTTTCATCTGTAAATGTTGCTGGCCAAAATTTTTGCAAACGCCCAATACATATAATGTAGGCAGTTCCCTATTGCAAGTAAGTGTTTTTGTAAAAAATCTGTTGCTCTTAGCATTGGCACTTAAATCAGTTTTAGTAAAATACTCGAGCGGTCCGAGCAAAATCACAACATTAAAATGCAATTTATCTTTGAAAGTTTTCCGTCTTGAAAGTGATTGTTTCCATGTGCTTAGGCAGCCGAAAGTACGATTTTCAATATGAAAAATGGATTTATTTGGTCCAGATTTGTGGCAGTTCACTTTATATTCACTTTATATTAAATGACTGGTATTGAAGCGATTTTATCATAAAATATTGAGAAATACGGCTTTTTGCTATTTAGAGGCTTTCTTTTCATGGGAACTTTTGTAAGATGTAGGCTGTATCAAATATACCTGTGTATTCCAAATTTGGTAGAGTTAATTTTTACTTTTACGATTAATTTTCATTATCAAATAATAAACATCAAGCTCCTGCAAAGGCTTACTGGTCATAAGAATAATTTTGATGTGAAAAAGGATTCAAACAATTGGCCCATTCCATGCAAATTTTTCACATTAACAATATATGCGGAGAAATTTTGAATATTGCACTTAGAACCATTTCAATGTCTATTGTAGAAGTCTAGCAACCACATTTAAGAATTCGCTCTATGGAATCGATATAAGGACGGATGTATTTGTTAAACAATTTGTTACGGTTATGGCCAAGGTTATCTTTACGGTCATAATTTTATATGTTCTGATAAGGTTTCTCGAGCGTTTTTTTTGGTAGCTTTGCGTTTGCAAAGCATCAAAGATGCCACGAGACTTACATACCTTAGTGAGCGTAAACTTTCAACGTCCAATTTTTCGCAACCTATTCGTATGTCACTTCATTTGTTGTCGCGGCATAGTTATTTACAGGAAATAATCGAAATTGCAATGAAAAAATTACACTTTGATGCATTTACTCAAGTATTTGGAATAAGACATTGCTTGCTGCTGATCTTGCTTTTATATACTCAAACTTACTTTTATAATTTAAGGGATACACATCATTTTGGAATGATTGCATATCGAGTGGTCTGCGTGGCTGTATACTTATTGAGTTGGGCCTAAGAGGTCGCATTATGATGGAAAAATCTGGCATGAGGCGGCGAGGATTGTGTTCAAGGTGACCAATATTTTCATTAAAAGTGGACAGATTAGTTTTTAAATTTTTTTCACATACAATTTTAGTAGGAAGGTGATCTTAAAATCCGATCAACCAACAGGAGATGTTCTACTAGATGAAGCCCTAAAACATATAAAAGAAACTAATCCACCCGAAACAGTGCAAAGCTGGATAGAGTACTTGAGCGGTAAGATGGAATCGAAATAACTGAATGATATCGAAAGTAAAACTGTGCGTGCATCTTAGGTGAAACTTGGAATCCTTTAAAATTACGTTATCAATTAAAGAATGTCCGTGAGCGTTTAGCTAAAAATTTGGTTGAAAAAGGTGTCCTAACAACCGAAAAACAAAATTTCCTTCTCTTCGATATGACAACACATCCACTAAGTGATAATGTGGTCAAATGTCGTTTGGTCAGAAAGGTACTTATGAAATGACTGCAGGAATGAAACGATTTACTAGAGAATAATTTTCAAAAATTAATTTTTAAGATTCAAGATTCAGTGCTCTCTAAATGGGTCAATGACCCGCAACGTATGGATAAGCGTATGCTGTCTTTAATATTTTTAGCTCATGCCAGCGATGTTATTGAAAATGCTTTTGCGCCCCTTAATGACGACGACTATGAAGTGGCAATGAAACGCGTCCGCGAACTTTTAGATCTAGATTTCGAAGCAGAGGCTGCCAAACCAAATGCGAATGAAATAATTTGGGCCGTGTTTATGGCGTTTACTAAATAAAAGCAATTTTTTCCATTTCTAATCAATACAAATATTTTCTACATTTATCTTCTTTTTATCTTTTATATATTTATTTAAATAGTTTTTCTTACTAAATATGAATCTTGCTTGCGGTTTTATTTACTCCATTTTGTAAAAAAAGTGAAAATTAATGAATTAAATTCATAATGCCACAAAAATTATATACACACACAATAATTAGTTGAGTTTAGAGAAGATACTTTGATTTTAATTTGTTTTTTATTTTTTTCGCGTTTGATTATTATTATATCATATAATAAAATATTTTTTTAATCATTATTATAAATATTATATATATAAACAATCACAATTGACAAAGAAAAGATAAACGCATACAAAGGAACACTTATTTTTAATATAAGAAGAGTGTTTGATAAAATTTTTCCAAAAATATCATTTCTTATCATTGAAACTCGTTCATTAATTACAAATTGTACAGTGTGCCTAACTAAGGTATTATTTACATATTTTATTTTTTTGTTTAAAAAATTAGAAATTAAAAAGAAAAAAATTATAACACAAGTTTATAATCTTAGAAAGTTGAATATAATTTTTTGTTTACAGCGGTGTGGACGTGCAATTCGTAAAGATATAAGAAAAAAGAAAATATATTTTAACTTTCATGTTTGCCTCCCTCTCTCTATTAGCCTCTTTTATTTCTTTCCAAATTTGCACGATTCAGCCGCAAACAATTGTTCAAATACATACAACTAAATCACTGCGCGTATACACTACTGATCATAAAAGAGATTGGATTAACAAAAAACTTAATTATATACAAGAAAAAAAAGCATTATAACTATATATTAATTATAAGTTTAATATCGACAATTGTAAACAACAGAATAATAAAAATAACATTTAGAATATTATCAACAAAGCAAACGTGCGCTAATTAGTTTATTATACTAGATAATTATCTAGTTTGGCCATTCCATTCATATCATTCAGAAATTTTTATCAACAGTTCTCTAAGAATGTATTAGTTTTTCCTTTCCCCTTCGAGTACTCAGAACTCTGTATCAGTATATTAAAGTGCTTCCTTATTGCGTCTGCATAAGTAAAATCTATGCTGGCTATATAACTTGTAGAAAATGTTTGCACCCTATACCCTATACCATTTGCAGTACTAAGCATATTAGGTTTTTTAGGTTTTAGGTCTTTGCGAATGTGTGTAAAACTCACAGAAGAAAAGAAGAAGAACGTCGTATTTTTTTTTTTGGCAATACCGATCAACTCTGATTTATTTTCTGAATAGCTTTAAGTTCGTCTGCCCGTCTTATTATGCATTTTTCATTTCTAATCTACGGATTGCAATTTTAGATATATTTTGCCGAAATTTTGTTTACTGATATGTTGATATGTTTTGAGCCAAGGGCGAATTGGATTTGATCACTTTTACGAGCATTGCCCAAATAAAACTTTCGTATGAAAACGTCGTATGTGAAAAGGATTGCAATATTCGATATTTCTCGACAACAATCGTTAAGTAACGGTGTTTCGAAATATTTTTCGAAAACATCTTCCAAATAACTTTTCTTACGAAAAGTGAGGGTGAGGGTGTATGTGGTAAAAACGTTTCATCTTTAACGAATTTGTCTTTAGAAAATTGGTCCATCATACTGAGTTAAGATAAGCATTAAATAAGATTTGTACCCGCGAATAATGACTTGTTAGCCCCGGCTTTTACCTAGTCGGCTTCTTGTACCAAAAAAATCGAATTTTTATTATTTTGTGGCAAAAATAAGTAAGATCTTTGAAAACAAAATTAAATTTGGTAATTATGGATCACTTCTTAAAACGTTCTACGAAATACATGCTTTGTCGTGGAAAGAAAATACGATTTTTGGACGGTATTTCTTCGAAAATGAGGATGGCCAGCAGCTACCATGAATTATTTTCTATACAATAGAAAATCTTTCTAACTTCTATTTCAGTTTGACGCAATTATTTTTATATATATTCCATAAGTGGTTCTATATGTTGAATATTTTGGCTGCTTAACGGTTGTTGTATTCTGGCAAGGCCGCAAGTATTTACTCTGTTACCCGCCACTATCAGCTATTTAACAGTGCTTTGTATATCAGCAATAGATTTTGAGAATTTTCCGAAATTTTTTCGAAAAACACATCGTTATGGGGCCAGTCTTATGGATACCGGTATTGGATTATTTGTATTCTCAATGGGTATAGTATCTCAAAGGCTTCAAAAATCCTCGCATTTGCGCACCAGAAATATCAAAGCAAATCTTGGTGTTTGCTTTTCAAATGTTTACAAAAAATGATTAAAGATAAAAAATGCATTTTTTTATTATCATCATAACTTTATTATTATTGTTTTTAATCATAAACTTCCGACTCTTCGAATCGGTTGTCCGCTCTTGCATGGTGAAAACGAATTATCCTCAACAGATGAACAATATGGAGAAATTCGGGAGATTCATTAAATTTGAATTTAGTTATCCCAGTATTTTCTCTAATTATTTACAAGAATACTATACATATAATAATGAAAAAAGAAAAAGTAAACTATACTGGCGTATATGTGTCATATTATATGCTTACATCTTTCAAAACGGGTTTTCATGTAGCTAGCGACATTCTAGTAACTGGACGATGAGCGCGCTAAGAGAGAATGTATACGGCATTCGTAACAGAGATTGCCACAAATTTCGCGATCTCAACACCATCCACAACTTTATAGTCGACAGTTCGAAGCGAAGCACAGGGAAAAACACTTCAGATGATCAGTCTGCTCTCTTGACACCATCACTATCATATGTTCAAGATCTGCATATCTGTTCATAAGCAGAATGTGCGCTTTAGGAAACACTTTCCGTAGCGTCAAAAATTTTTTTTTCGCCATTTCGTAAAAAGCGGTCGACTCGTCACTGTTTCGTTAAAGGGAATTTTTACTCAAATTGAATTGAATATGAACACTATCAAAAACTATCTCTTCGTCTATTAATTTTAGAGTTATGGTTTTAAAGGGAATTTTTACCCAAATTGTATGAACACTATCAAAAACTATCTCTTCGTCTATTAATTTTAGAGTTACGGTTTTTATTTGCCAAAATTTCCGTACCAAAGTGATAAATTTGTCCTCTACGCGTGATCCTTTGCCAGTGTACCCAATAAAATAAAATAAACCAACATAGGAAATTGCAGCTTACTGTCTTGCCTAAAGAGATCTTACGCCGCAGAGCTCCTTTAGCTGAAGATTTTCCACGACCCAAGACTTCCCATTTCGGCATTGCCAGTTTTTAATAATTTTCAAAAGACTCCTTTTTATTAAGCTTTTACCGTGTTATTATCGCCTAATATGCCACCTAGTATTATTCTGTTTATTGTTATTATGTTCTGATCTCGACTAGCAATTCTAGCGGCGCTGTTTTTAATAACGCTGATTACCTTGGATACTAGTGTTTTAGGACCTTATTCTTAGAATTTATTTCTTCTTCTAAATTAATAATAATAATAAAAATATAAAAAAATCACTCCTAAACAAACGTAAGTTCGGACATTTAAACTATGAGCTTAAATACAATCGTGCGTGAGAGCGTTGGTGCAACTCCAGGACAAGAATTGAAAATTTCAAGAAGCTCTCTGCAGCGTATACTCATTGAAGAACAGCGTCCGTATGCTGAAGCCGAATGTCCATGCATAGTGAACAGAGATCGTTCAATGGAATGGATTGAACATCAACAAGTAGATGCTGATTTTTCGAGCAAAATCATCCTAAGCGACAAAGTTCATTTCCACTTTGATGACTTCGTTAATCGTCAAAATTGCTTCATAGTGGGATTGTAAGCAACTTCGTGTTTCCGATCTACCGTACTCTGCTCTCTTAGACAATCTATCTTGTACAATTACTTTCCTTTTTTTACGTACAACCAACATTTGCGAAACTGCTTGTCCACAGATCATTTCTTTATATGCTAACCTCAGAAATTCCTCATGATGCAAATTATAATATGCTTATGGACTTTGAGTCAATGTCTGTCTAGGCTTTTATTTATTTTTGAAAGTGTAGGCAAAAAAAAAAGGGAACAACAGGATCAATACCGCAACTTTTCTGAATTTTATACCTTTTATATACTAATTTCTCCAATTGTGCTATTTAATCTATGAAGTGATGTCCACAATATGTACGATGTCGTGTACGTTTTCTACTCTTTCAATCTGTTGGAGCCGAATTTATCTCAGTTCATAGAGGACATGCCTATTTGAGAAGGTATGATAACAATCGTAACGTAACGGATACACCGGTAACAGAGAAAGATTTCTGTACCCAATTTAATGTATTGACAATCACAAGCTATCGTTAGTTAGTGAAAGAATTTGAAATTTTGTTTCTTAACATCCCTGCAACCAGCTGCAATTTTATCAGTTGCCAGAAGTAAGTATTATATAAATAAAAAAGTATAAATAAAAATGACAATGAGTTAAATAAATCGAGCTTTAAAAATCCGTTCTTTTAGCTACAAATTCTGTCAACTAACCGAAAGATTACTTTCATAATCGCATTATTATAATAACATAATTTGTCAAATAGCAAAATAAATAGCAAATTTAGAAAAGTCTGCAGAAAGCAATCACGATCACCTATTAGAGGCGTTTCCACATTTCATATAATATTATCGCTGCACGCGAAATAAACTTAGAAATCATATTCAAGAATATTTCTTAATGTAGTTACTCATGTAGCTTAAGTTTAAATCTTTATTTTGAGAAAGTAATTTTCAAAGAGCCCACTATTTTATATTATTTTTATATTAGGACATATTTTAAAGAAAATTGTTTACGAATATAAAGGATATATCTCTTTTATTATAAATTTAATGTATTTATATATTATTCAACAAATTTTATATATAAATTTTGCTTTGTTTGTAATGTTCTTATAACAATAATGCGTCATTTTTATAATTTAGTTTCTTTTGAAATAAGTATGTATCGATAGTACCAAAGTATATATATTCTATGATAGTGGAGCTAGATTTTGCTAGTTGCAATGGAAATTTGGTAAATTATTTAGTATGCATTACGTTCTTGATATTCGAAACGAATTGTATATGATTTTTCAAATATAAAAGCCGAAAGAAATTTTAGAAATTTTTACAAAAAGTTCAATGCTTCTGTCCGTTTATGTAAATGGGCATCATTTGTATAACGTTCAAAATTTAAGTTTTTTACCTTTTATTGTGTTAGAGCAATTAGATTTCAGCAAATAAGAAAATAAATCCACTTACCGCAGTAAAGGTTGAATGGATTGCGCACTTCTTCTTGATTTTAGATATGATTTAGATATGACTTGTTCGCCTTGGCTTCTTGATTTTAGATTTTTTGGATTTTCCCTTTTTCCATTTTTTTTAATTTTTCTTATTAGGTTGTTGTTCTTTTTTCCGGTTTAACCTCGCTTGGATTTTCTCACTTGGATTTTCTGATTTAACCTTATTTGGATTTTTTTTTTCATTATCTAATTTTTCGCACGTATAGAGTCGTACTTAAGTGGTCAAACAGATTGCTGTGAATCATTTTATCTCGAAATCCATAAAGCAGACGCGTTTAATCGAACATTCGTGGGACTACGTACATGGTACCATGAGCACGCTTCCGTTTGTACTTCCTGTTCACGAACTTTGTCAGTGTATATAGATTTTGTTTGCTCCTATCGCAGACTACTGCTTTCACGTCCAGTCCGATCTCCTCTGCGATAGTTAAACATCTGTTTAGCTCGTTCGGAGCTCCATTATAGCTGGTTATTGGAATGGCGATGATCAGCACGTTAAAAGC